AAAGAGTGTTGAAGAGTATTTGTAGTGAGGGTGGTCAAATGTTGGAATAGGGTGCCCAGAGACATGGAGTGTCTATCCAGAAAGATACTCAAAACCCAACTGGCCATGGTCAGGACAGCCTGCTGTAAATGACCATGCTTGAGCAGAGGGGTTTGGACTAGAGGATCTAGAGGTCCCTCCAACATAAATGTATTTGATTTTGTGATTCTGTGAATGTTTTGGGGTATGGTTTTGTGTTTGGGGTGTGGTTGGTTGGGGTTTTTTTTCTTTTTTTCTTTCTGACATCACTGAAACATGAATTCTGTAAGAAATGCATAGCCTTCTCTTTTATATACACATTGAGCATTAAAACTATAAGAAAGCCTAAAAAGACAAAATAACCTTTTACTAAGAAACAGTGCCTCTTCAGTGTATTTCTCATTATGGCCTTCTGCTATTCAGTTTAAAAAATGAAGGGTAACTTCTATACAGTGTATTTGAATATCAAGCATCAGTAAGATTTATAAGCTGAGACACTCACTTGGAGGTGACAAAATAGTTAGATGAGTAACATAAGGCAAACTTTGGTTTTTTCCCCACTACTGCATTAATTTTAGTTTTCATGAGAAAAGCATCATAGCATTAGCTAAAGCAGGATTTATAACTAATAATAATTTTGCTGGATTTCTGTGCTTACATCTTAGCCCTGACTTGTAATTTTGTCTGCGGTGTTCCGTTAAACCACTAGGGAAAGTTAACTTCTCTGTCTAGTTGCATGACAGTTCTGCTATAGGCAAACTTATTAACAGTACTGACTGCTGAGGGAATATTAGGCTTTTTGGTTTTTTTATTACTGTCTTCATGTATCTTCTCCATTTTCCTAAATGAGCTCTACTTTCTCTTTCACTCTTTATTCTGTGGGTCACCCTATTTTGCTATTACTGCAGCATCTTCTGCTATGGTCAGGCTTTCACTGAGCACATGGGATAAGTCTAAAATCAGAGGAAAACTTGTGGTTGGTCCCTGAAGCAGCTCTTAAAAAGGAGTTTGAAGAGCAGAGATTTGCTTATTCTCTGTAGTTATTTAACAGATTTTACTTTCTGGTTTTCTACCCCATGTCTGTGAGAAATTTTGAGTGAATACCTTTAATTCAAGTTTACTGGATGCAGTGGTAACTCTTGCTCTGAACATACAGAGTTAATAATTGCTTTTCGTTTTTTAGATTATGGATTATATTACTCTTGAGATAAATAATGGTTTTTTTAAAGCATACTTGCTTATGATCAGATGGTGTGAAAAGTCATTTGGAAGTCTTCACAATTGGAGTACAAATTATTAAAAAGTTACGACTTCTCTACTACATAATCGAATTAATAATTTAAGTACTTACTTAAAATTAGTTGTTTCTAAGTACAATTTGGCATCCAAATAGGGATGCTTCCTGAGTTCACATATTAATTTTACAAGCTAAATTAAATTTCAAGCTGCTACATGAATGTACAGCTAAACATGCTTGGTTGTTAACTGACATATCTGTATCTTTCTGCCTCACCACAGACATTCACAGCAAAAATTTTCAAACACCCTGGATTGAAATTAACTTTGGCATAGGCAAATATGGCACTCTCAGATGGGAAGCTCTTTATTACTGGTTAATTTTGATTGCAAAACTTTGCATATGAAAGCAGGAGTGATTTGAACTTTAAGGGGAAATGGAATCTCAGTATTTTATCAAGCTATGTTGTATTGGCAAACGATTTACTTGTTAAAAAAATTGAAAAGAGATGATTGCTTGAAGGAAACAACACAATGTTGTTGTAGACTAAATCATAATTTTTATTGAGAAAAAAAAGACCACTCCATTTTCTCTATTTACACAAGAAAACATATAATGGCTTATTGAAAATTGGCCAAACACATTCCCAGACACAGTTTTGTTGGCCAAATCTTTTGAAGGATTTCTTTATGGATTTTTTTGGCAGGAGAAGTTATTTTAATGGAAAAGTATAAGATGTACCAGATGCAGTTTTCTGGATTGCCATAAATGGTTAACAAATTATTGGAGGCTGTTGTACATGTCTGGTTTACAGCAGTCCATACTGAATTTTGGCTCAGGTCTTTTTTGTTATTCAGTCTTTTCACATACATGAAGTACGTGTTTTGAGTCCTTTTCAACTCTAAGACTCTATTTTAGAAGGAAATATTCCATTTAAAAAATATGTTTAATGATGAAGTTGCATAGCCACTGTGGATGTAATATAGCTGTATAGCTGTCCTTAAAAGTTGTTCCTCTTTGATATAAAATCTTTTTTGCCAGGAAAAAATAGAAAAATAGAAGACAGCAGTGACATTTCATTTACATTATTGATACATCTGTTCTAAAATTTATCATATGAATAAAAATTGAAAAAGAAACTTGTGATTGTCTTGCTTTGTGGAGCAGCAACAGCGTAAGATTTACTTGAAACTTATTTTCAGATTTTGGGTTTTTTTATCTTTCTGTGGTTTAATTTTTTTAAGTTCCGTTTACTCTGTGGAGACCCAAATAAGAACTGAATTTCCATGTATGCTCCTACAACTGTTACCATTCCGTAATTATATTGTAAATGTTTTTGTGGTCCTATTTAACCACATTTACAAAGTAGCATAATTTTAAGTAAGTTGAAACTTTGAAAGCATGGATTAATTCTCCTGTGCCTCACCCTGGTGTTTTGGAGAGGGGAATGCTGAAGAGCAGTCATATTATTGGAATGGATTTCAGTGCATATGGATGTAGTTGTTACAAGATATATTGTTGTACAATATATATAATCTTGTTTGGTTTTTAACTTGTTTTGAATAAGGAGTTTAATCCTTATGTTCCTTGAATAAGAATATTCCCAGCATGACACTAGTTAGTTTGTTCTACTTTGTACTCTCTAAAATTCGTATTTGTGAAGTAAAATGTCTGTATAAAGATGTGGAGTATCTGAACAGCACATTATTAGGTTGTATCCATTTCGGAGCCCAGCTCTTTCATGTAAATACGTGAAAACTCTGTGCAGGTTCTCATGGAGTTACTGGTGTTAGTTGAGAACCATGTTGTGGCAGCATAGCTGTGGCATGCATTTATTAAAATTGAAAGTCATATGGAAACTGAAGTGGAATGTTTTTCAAGTATCCCAGATGATTTGAAGGGTATAGAAGTTTATAAAAGTCTCTTTTCTTACAAAGATGTTGAGGTTTTTTGGAAATTACCTACAAAATAGGTACAAGAAAAGTGTATCTTTTTGTGGGTTTTGTTTTGTTCTTTAAATGAAGCACTTTTAATTGGCGTGAGCCCTAGAAGTGTTAAAACGGTAGAGAAATTTAAGTTGACTGGCAGATTTTCCGTAAGATTTGAAGGTAAGCATTGAACCTTATAGAGGGAGATTTTGTATTCTGCTGATACAACTGTAGGGTAGAGTTGATCTTCACATGGACACTCCATGTTATAATATACATGTAAGGCTTTTGTGTGTAGTTAAGACTTTTGTATGTCTATTAGGGGAAAAAAAAAGAGGTAGTGTTTTGCAGAGCCACAGTGTGGTGAAAATTTTATTTTTGCTGTCTTCAGGTGAAGTCATTTGTAGTATTATCTTCTAAAAGTACTTTGTATCCTGTAGCAGCTTGTTTTCTTGTCTGAGTATGTTTTATTGCCAGTGTTCTTGAATCCTATGTTTAGGGAGTTAAATGAAATAAGTTTTTCTAGCACTTTTTACTCTTTTTCTGTACAAACTTACGTAGACCTGAATATCACATGCTTTTATCCAGTTTCTAGTATATCTGATTTTTTTACAAAGAGAAAATTCTGTGCCTTGTTTCCTTACAGTCAGAATGTTGTAAAATATTTATGGCAAATTAAACTTTTACAAGTTTTTTGTTGTTGTTGGGTTTTTTTTTCCTTTATTTTGAGCTTTATTTTTGAGTTTTGTGGAAGGTCAGAGGAAGCCTGAGTTACTGATACAGAATGATTGAGGTAATTGGGTGTATTCTAACAAGTAATTGTGTCTGTGGACTTTTGGAATGATGTTGTGAGGCTCCAGTATGTAGATAGTAGACAAATCATTGTTTAAGGTCAGGAATTTCAGAAAGCTGAGAAGTTATAGCACTAGTGAATGCAGAATCTAGACTCTTCTAATAGTTCCTGTTTCAGGCTTGTGGTGAGGGAAAATAGTCGTTTGTGTAGACCAAGAATGTCATGATCAGTATTGTGGTATCCTAGATTAACTGATTTCAGTGCAGCCACTACAGAATAGTATCAGAACTTTTAAGTCAGCTTGAAAAAAAAAAAAGGGGGGCAGGGAGGGGACGAGTTACCAGAAAATGCAATGTCTCTTAGCACACTGCTACACAACCTCATAGAATTAACTTTATAATACTGGTCTATTCACTTAATTTGTAGGCCATGATGCCTCACTGGAAGTGTTTGGCATTTTCATCTCAGTTTTGTCTTTGGTTCATGGTAGCTGTGCCATTTTTAACTGAATGCTCTATTCCCAGATATATGGGAAATCTTGCGTAAAGACTTTCTTGCCAGCATACTGTATCATGAAGCACAGCACTGGTTCTAGGATGTATTAGTGTGTCCCAGCATGCTGTTTCAAGAGCTTACATCTGTTACCAGGAGCAGGAAAAGTGCAAACGGAAGAGAACCAGAACCATGCTGCTCTGCTAGTAACTCTCCTGGGAGACTGGAGAACTCCTTAGTGCTTCAAGATTTTAGCAACTTGATAGTGGAGCAGGCAAAATAGCTGGTTTAGGAAACATTTGAGGTTAAGTACTGAGGTCAAAAGACCTGATGCCAACATGCAGTTTGGTCAGATGATGAGAAAGATTGCCAGCACAGCACTATAGACCTTGATCAAGAGTTTCTCTCTAGTTCTGTATTATCTAGGTGGAATAGAGCAGTTCACACCTTCTGCAATTGATTTATTTTCTGTGTGTTCCTATACTTGAACATTGAGTATCATTCTGAAAACTTTAGCTTATGATCTCAAATAATGATCACTTAAGTTAACACTTTTTTATAAAAACAAGCTAATTTTGTTAGTTTGTCTTTTGTTTGTTTTTTTTAAAGCACCATCATTATTTATAAGTTTTGCAACAAAGTTTCGAAGCTTAAATTTTTGTTTATTTGCTGTGACATTTTATAGGTGAGATCAGAAAAGAAATGTTAGAAGATGTACAAAATAAACTAATGAATCTTATGAACAGCACAGAAGGAAAAGTGGACAAGTAAGTCTTTAATGAAAGACTTGATATACATTTTTGGTTTTCATTTCTCACAATGTACAGATGTGTTAATAACACAGTTGCAAGAACAGTGCAGAACTGGGCTTCTGTATGTGACCTTGTAATTATACTTTGATTATTTTGACATTTTGCAATTGCTTGGTGGTTGTAAATAGTAATTTTGATCAGTAAAATAGCAATGTAAATTTTGATTACTGATGTGCTCCTTAAGTCAAAGTGCTCTTCAATAGCATGAGCTCTGCAAATGGAGATTAAAGTTCTTGATGAACATCTGTTATAATGTCTAAGGTGCAAACAGCAAGCCCTTTCATGTAGATAGCATCACCTAGATGTTGTGTAAATCTCTCTTCTTTAGTATTTTTTTTCCCCTTCTCTTTACCCATTAGAACTGAAATGGGGGATAGGCAGATTGGTTCCCCTGTCCCCTTCATTTACATCTTGATTTGGGACTATACGTAAGTATCTGTTTAAATGCTCTCCTGAATCAAGATCTTAGAATAAACACTTTCCCTGGTTGTAGTACTTACATCAAGACTTGTGCATGTACAATGCAGTTTCACCTTTTTGCGTACAGTATTTCTAGTACTGTCCAAATTGACACCTACTGTATAAGAAATGTTGTAACTTGTAGGGGAGGCAAGTGGGTGAGTTACCCTTTTAGTTCCTTGTATTAGATTTGTTTGTTTGGATTATTGTAAGTTAGGCAAAAGTATGAGGAAAAAATGCATCAGTATTACAGTATCAACTGTTCCATAAGAGCAGACTGTATAACAAGCTTCCTTTGTTCTGCAGGCTTCTGATGAGAAATCTCTTTGTTGGACATTTTCATACTCCAAAAAATAAACGTCCTGAAGTGTTAAGGTTAATGGGAAGTATCTTGGGAGTAAAAAGGGAAGAACTTGATCAGGTAATGCTTTACAGAAAACTTCTTTTATTTGCAGCAACTTTACTTGAAAATAGAATGATTTGCTGCTAAACTAAATGTCCCTGCACTTCTTGTGAGGAAAGTAATGGGATTTTTTATGTGGGACATATTGACCCTAATGGAATCTTCTGATAACATTATTTTAATAGAATGTGTCTAATTTTGCCAAGGAATGCTAATGCAGAAAGGAAGGGATTTAACTTTGTGCTGTTGTGTATAATAGCTGGAATGTGTCTATTACAAAAAAGCCAGTTTTGTATGTACCTCTAGGTATTGTGAAGAATGTGGGGCTTATATTTATAAATAAAAAGCCATGTTTTTAGACTGTCAGTCTTCGGGAGGCAAAGAAGGAAGTTTTAACAGTAATTAAAGTATTTATCTGTAGGATTCCCACATAGTCATGGTGAATAAATATAATGAGCACAGAGTTGCAGTTTCCTTTACCTGCCGCTTTATTTTTGGTTTCCAAAAATTTATTTTTTTTTTTATACTTTCTAGTTATTATCTGAAGACCAAAGAGGAGTTACAAGATGGGTCACTGGCTGGCTTGGTGGAGGAGCTGGGTCAAAGAGTGTCCCTAGTACACCTTTGAGGCCCACTCATCAGAACATTTTTAATAGTGTAAGAATTAATTGTGCATTCTCTATGCTTGAGTGGAAAAAATGGAGCAGTTGCATATTAATGCTGATGTTCAGTTCATCAGTATGTTGAGGTCGTTTACTGGTGCTACGGTATATTATTTGCATTATTTGCTTTGTGCATCTGCTTTGGCATAAGGGTTTGGGGTTTTTTGGTTTTGGTTGGGTTTTTTTCCCCACTAAGTAAATAAATAGGCATTGATGAAAACTATACGGTAGTAAGTGTTGGGCTAATATAGAAATCTAGTTACTGTTCCACTGGTTCCTGGGATCACTGACTTCTTACAGTATGGACTTCATCTTGCAGACTGACAGTGCTGGAGGTTAAATATATGTGGGAGTCTTGAATTCTGTAATACTCAGACAACCATGACATCATATTTTGATGACTGTGTTTCCATGTGTGCTTGAAATTTCATTTGAAAAGTTTTCTCAGCTGCTGCAGCTAGTCCCTCTTACATACAACTTATAAAGTTGATATTTTAAGCTTTCAAATACTATAAAGCAACAGTTCTTGTAGCATGATCTGTGGGAGAAGTTTGTTTATCGAACTTTCAGTTTCGCAGACCAGTAAATAATGCATTCAAGGATAGACCATTGAGGGACTGGGCTTTTTGGATGAACCTTGGGGTTTTTTCTTGCTGAGCTAGAAAAGCATGTTGAGAATTAAGTCCTGTAAAATATCTTAAAAGTGTAGTGATTGTTTTTTGAGCACTAAAGTAATGTAGGTACTTAGGCCACCAGAAGATGGTGGTCTGATTAACTACAGATGTAAAAGAGGAAAATAAATGCTTTGGTATGTACAGTACAGGCTTTACTAAGCAAAAACTTTTTTTGTTATGCTACTGACATCTTAATCATTCTGTGCTTTCTTTATTCAAGACTTTTTGTCAAATAAAGACAGTAATGGGTTTTAAGTGAAAAGTCACAAATTTATGTTTCTGGAGGAGTGATTTGCTGGAGCATGGTCACAGGAAATAAATCCTGTAGTTCCAGTCATTAGCAGCATGGGATTCTTGAAACAATGTTCTTTAAATCAATAATGGAACTATGGTGGAAGTATGTGTGTTATCTTTAGAATTTTATTAATTTCACATAAATATCACTTAGTGAGATCAGAAAACCCTGTGTATTTTGTAAATAAATCTCCTTGTCAATCACTAAGGACTACTTATTACCACATACTTAGTACTAAGTACTCACACAAAATTTTTGGGAGGCTGTTGATGCCTTCTCTGCATATGTATGTTTGTGTTTTTAACTTATATACTTTTCAACAGAGCATCAGTAAAATGTGATAACTGGTAGCCTCTTGTAGTCTTTTTCAGAGTTGTTTGTGAAATTCCTTGAAACAGAATCTTGCCCAAGCCTTCCTCCACCCAAGCTCTCTGTTCATGATATGAAACCTTTAGGAGCAGCAGGAACTGGTAAAACTATCAGTACTCCGTCCAACACTCAAACGCAAGGTAACATTTGAAGGAAAACTTGAATTCTTGCACGGAACATAAATAACTAAAGGTAGAATTTTCAGAGGCATTTCAGGGATTCTGTGCTTCCTCATTTGTGATCTAGGAATTTGATTTCTTCCTTCCCCCCAGCTTCCTGTGTGCAGTTTCCTACTTTCTCTTCTGTTTCATTTTTAACTTCCCCTACCCCTCCTTCCCACTGCTTCTGTACCCTGCTTCCTGAAATCTCAATACAGAAGATCATAGGGACCAAATTCCCTTTGATATGGAGAGGCTTTAAGAGCACTTGTTAGAGCCAAACAGGTACTGTGCAGACAACTCCATATGGTATATCACTGAACCCAATTATGATTTTTGGCATCCCTGTGTATCAGCTTGGGTCTTACTGAGTGAAGAAGGCAAGTAATAGCAACCTGGTAATGCCTGTCTGTCAGTAGAATCTGGTTTCTCAGAGAGGACTGAAATAAAGTCAATTAAGTGTATGGCCTGATTTGAAATCTCTCTGAGCTGTGCATGAGTGTTAACTTTGACTTTTTCCTGTGGCAAAGAAGAATTATGCTTATATTATGCATGCTGAGATGAATGCATCTTTGTCTTAAGTAATGCAAGAACCAAAAATATTTTTATGTGCATTTAAGACTTCACTTTAGTGCAGTCCTGCTGATTTGCAGAAGCTTGTTTTGATTGAAGCTTTTACTGTGAACTGAAAAAAAAAAACCTCACCAACCCACAACTCCAAAACCCTATAAGTTATATAGATCTACAGAGAGATATGCTGAAAACCCACTTTCAATTTGCATAAAATAGTTGGATGTTACAAAGTATAAATGTCTATTGTGACATACTAATTTATCTCTGAAAGCAGTAGTTATTAATTTTCTTAATAAACCTGAATTAAGTTTTTCTTGTTACTCTTCATCCTTGTAGCGTACAGTAATATAATAGGTAGAGTACCTGTTTTACTTGGCAAAAAAACACCCAATTTCCTTGTCTGGAAGAACTAAATTCTTGGTTCCTTTTGTCCATACAGGAGCTAAATTTCTGGGTGTTTTAAGTTTTTGTTCCTAGAAATAAACCATATGATAGCTGTTTTTAAGTGTTGGACACAAATGTCGGTATAATATCCACACAGAAATGCAGTCAGTCTTGTAACTCATGGCCTAAAGTGTAGACATAGGAATTTTTCAGTAAAAGAAGCAGTGGCAGATGAGATCCAAGATAAGAGAGAATAGGGAAAATGAAAGTCTTTGAGAGCGTCTACAGTCTATGGCAAGAAGATAGAATTTTCATGTTGCAAAAGTAATAGGCAATTGTAGAACTTGTTTGTGAAGAAATGCTCTGAAATTGAGTAGAGTTATGAATGCTTTCTAACAAAGGGTTTTGGTTTTGTATCCCAGATTCTGCAGTTTTGGTAATGGGCAGAAGACCAGACACAAATCCGTTTTTAGCACCTCGATCTGCAGCAGTGCCTCTTATAACACCTGCCAGCAGTTCTGGACATCTGCTTATGAAACCGATTTCTGATGCATTGCCCACTTTCACACCACTGCCAGTGTCCCCTGATGCCAGCGCTGGTGCTGTACTAAAAGACCTCCTAAAACAATAGATAATCGTGTACCAATATGATGATAGTAGCACTTTAAGGAAAATGAGAACACTATGATGTATATAATTTACCACAATGAGGCCTTCTGTAAAAAGTAATGTACCTGTTTGCAATTGTACCTAGCTTTTCTTTTAATTACAAAGTAAGCAGTGTTTTGGAAATTCTAATGGTGGCGTGAATAGCTGCCTTCTTTATAGCAGGTGTTCATTTTGGGTGTGGGTTTAATCTTAAAATGAGAAAAAAGATCCATCTTGTTGCTAGATTGTCAGAAGACAAGTAGAAGGACTTTTAAACCTTAATTATACTCTGAGTTGTTTCAGTTCTGCATAGACAGCGTTAACTCTCTGGTGTTGAGATCTGTTTTTCCATTGAAGTGATCTGCCACTGGCAGTGGGCCTTCAAGACCAGAATTAAAAAAAAACCCGTCTCCAGACAAAGTGAATCTTACTTGAAGTGTTCAATTAATGACACAAACTCCAGGCGCTGAGCATATGGGAGTGCAATTATTGAGCAGCTGTCTTCCCCCCTGCAACTTATGATATTTATTTATATATACTAGGACATGTATTTCTAGTATATGTATGTCTATATATACACTAGGACATGTATTTCTTATTTACAGCATTGGTCACATTTGGGGGCAATTTGAGACATGTTAATCTCTTTTTGCACAACTATTTCGTTTCTCCTCCCCTTTTCCCTGCCCCAGACAAATGGCTGCTTTCAGCTGTCAAACCCGTCAGCACCAAGGAGTTAACTGTGGAAGTGAGCACTTCGTTTTCTAGAGGTGTCCATGTGATGAAGAGTGGGTAATTTAGCAAAAGATAGGTTCACATATATAAAGACATTGTACTGTAATAATCTGAGATGTATATTTGAAAGACTTTTTATCTTGCAGGATTTTGTAAATCCAAATACAGGCTTAAAGCTTGAACACATGTATAGAATTTAAAGGGAAGAAGATGCTTACTTATCTCAAATGTGTAAATAGGTCTTTGTAAGATCAAGACCAAAGTCAATTACTCTGTAAATTTTGCTGTGATCACTTGTACACTTTGTTTGGCAGGTAAAGAATGAAGTTGCATACTAAAGGATAAAAGTCATCTTGCAAAAGTCATCTTCAAAGTGAATCTGAGATACAACATCTTCCATTTAAAACGCGTAATTTCTAAATCTTTTTGTATGTCATTCCTTGTTTAGTCAGTATTGTGCAAGTTCTATATTAGAACTGTCAAACTTTACTTCTCATTTTCATTAAGATTCTGGATTAAATAGTTGTAAGAGTTATATTTAAATAAAATCAATTACTGAAACTTGTACAGAATCAGCCAAAATAATGCAGGAAATCTTTGCATTTATGTAGAGGTCAAGTAGTGATTTTCTTTTGCTGCCTTGAAATCTAGCAGAGGTTTTTAATTACTGTATTTACCTTAAGAAGTGCTTGAGTTGCTTTTCTTCAGTATGTCAAGTGTTTCATGGAAGACTACACGAAGTTGGAAGTGGATTGACCATAGTGAATTTTTATTTTAAAGTTTTTACTCCTTTATAGATAGTTTGGCAGTTAAATTTCTGAAAGGGTAGCAGCTGCACATGGTATACCAAAGTAGGTTCTGAATTATATAATAAATGTAATGAGGATTTGAAATTACCTTGCCTGAGAACGTTCCAGTTTGGTACTTCAAATGTACATCTCCATTTAAACTGAACTGAAATAGGTACTTTTTTTTCCCCATAACAAATACAAAGAAAACTGAAATCCGATGGCTTTTGTGCAGTCTCTTATGTCTTGTAATCATGTCTGTTTAAAAATAGATATATATAGATAGATATCTATATATATATAACAGCTTCAGAATAAAATCACCTTTTGGTGAGCCAAAGCAGAAGGGAATGCTTAGTTTTTAAGAATTATGTGACATACAGTATAAATTACAAAGGGTCTCATGTTGGTCACTATTCTCTGAATGTACTAACTGAGCAGATCTTTATTGTGCAGATTTTTTCTTTAATTGCAGAGGATTTAATATGTGCATGTTTCTGTTCCAGGAAGCTTTTATAAATGCCAATAAATGAAACGTAGACCTTTTTTTTTTTTTTTTTTCCCCCCCTGCGTGCTGTAAATCAGCTCCATTTATATAGTAAGCTATGAGTTTGAGGAGGGAAATCTAAAATCAAGAAAGGTACTGAAGAACTTCACGGTTACTCATTAAGCTACTTGCTGAAGTCCTAGGAGATCTGTTGAACTATGGGGAAAATTCCCATGGCTTAAGAGGTTTCTGTTCTAGGGATGCTTATTCCACAACAGAATTGCTGGGTCTTGTTGCTTTGTTAAAAATCAAATGTGCTCTATGTTCCAGGCAGTACTTTTGCATTGAAAAGTATAGAACAGTGCCTTTTTTATTTCTTCTTAGACTGTGTCACAGACTATTCTAAACTTTCAAGATTTGTTTTTACTGAAAGATTAGCAGATGTATTTTTTCCTCTATTTTTCTTAGGTGTTTACTTTGTGCTTGATAACTGTTTCGTATATATTTACCTTGCCAGTTTCCCACATGTAAGTATGTGACTCATGTAGTCTATCCTCTTAATTGTGTGGGTCTTTCACACCGCGGGGGGGGGGGGGGGGGGGGGAATTCTCTCTGGAATTTGAGCAGTAGTTGAAAATCCTTGTTCTTCATTTGACTTAATTTTTCTCTTTCACCTTGCTTTTTGCAGGGGAAGAACAGTATGGTCCTCCTAGTTTTGGTCTAACAAGCTGTCAAAGATAACTAACAAGTTATCTTCAGTGGTAAGGTAACAGAATTCTAGTAAGGAATTAATTTTGCAAATTTGATATAAGGGGAAAAATAAGGATTAGGATTTTCTGTTCTCCTCTTTCGACTCTTTCGGTTTTTGCTGTTCTTTGCTCATCCTGCATTCTATCCAAAGAGAAGGAAGTAACTGGTTGATCCTTCTAATTGTTACTGTAGAAGAATGCACGGGTGCTGTTTGTTGTTTTTATTCTTTGTTTTTTGAATTAAACTCTCTGCATTAAACCAATTAGTCACAGCCATAAAATTTATCACTTTATAGTGACCGGTGTAGAAAGACCTTTTTTTATTATTAATTAATTTATTTTTTTTTAACCAAATGTCAGTTCCCAGCCTGCATTTTGTTATTTCTTCTTACTCATTTTATTATTTCTTCTTACCTATTTTGCATAAATAGTTACCAGTAAGGCAGGCTACCTGGAACGTAGATAGCAGTGACTCATTGATAAAGTGGAAGAGACAGAGTGGAAGATTCTTGCCTCTTAAGTATGTAACATTATCACATACATCGGGAAAGCTTTGCAGTTTTAATCCTTGATGTCACTTTGCTGCCGGTTTTGATTACTGACACATTATCTAAAAGATCAAGAATAACTTATTCAACTTGTTTAATGAGACATACGTGTAAACTTGATGTTGCATCCTCCCAAAACTCCCAGTTTGGGAGTAGATTTAACTAGAATAAAAATATTTTTTTTTGTCACCTACTTGAAGAAAAAATATTTATTTAATATGGAGTCATTGGTATACTGTGGAAATAACAAAAATAAGTTTCAGACATTCTTTCAGAGAGGTCTTTGATTTATTTAGACATCCAAACCTAACTAGTCTTTGTGTTGGTATGCTTTTGTCAATGTTTTAATAGACATCTGGTAGTGGTAGCAGTAAGGCTTAAGGAATTAAAAACATTGCATGTGTTTGTTTTATTTTGGCTCTTCTTTTCCTCCCTTCCAGTAAATTTAATAGTTTGTTGCCTTGAGTAGGTGTCTTTCAGGTGGAAAGTTTGTAATTAGCTTTCTTAGAAAAATAATACATAAGAATTGCCAGCCTACATTTTTTGTTCTATTGTGTTGTGCCATTATATACTGCTGAATTCATTTGCAGCCCCTCAAAGCTTCAATGTGGAAACCAGTCTTCAGTAAAAAAATAAAGGACTAGACAACTGCTGGCATTCTATTTAAAGGAAAAAATAATTTGTACATGGCATGTTGTTCACAGCAGTAGCAACACTGACTCTTGGACAGTTGTATTCATCTCAAGCTTACAGAAGCTGAGAAGTACCTGAAAGCGTCACCTATTATAACTCAAAGATATTTCGTAGCAAGTAGTCCTAAAGCATGTTATCAGCGGGAGTGTGCAAGAAATGTGCCTGTTTGCAGGTGGTGGTACATTTGTTGAAAGCCTAATTTGGGCAAATTTATTCCAAATGGGAGTTCAGCCATGCTGTGAAAAGTCAAAACATTTTGCCAAGTGGAAGAAAATCGTATCAAGTGATTAAAGGCTTATTTTCTTCACTGGAAATAACAATTGGAAGATAACTTAGGTTTTTTCATACATAAAAAGGGACATTTATCATGCAGTAAGTGCCTGTATCATGTAATTTGGGGTCATTTGTGCCTTCTTACTGAGCTTGCAGCATTGCTGGTTAAAACTAATTTCTTTTAAAATGTTCGCAGATGTTATACATCATCCTTGAGCATTGATAGTGAATTAATCTTTCTCTACTCTTGTGTTAAGATATCCATTAAACAGCTTCACATAGATCAGATTTTAAAATCAGTATTGCTTGCACTCAAGTTTCTGTCAGTCTGTGCCAAACTGCCTTTGTAAAGGTTAATCTTTCTTGGTCTGTGATGGTCAGCCAATAAATATTGCTGTGGATATCCACAGTAGCACCAAAAACATTTCGCCTCTTAAGAGGACTGAAAACACCCCTTTTTCTCTATTTGTAGCTATTTGGATTTAAGTTCTTTTATGCCTTGGGTTGTTTTGGAGGGACGTTTTTTGGATTGTTCTTGTTGGGAACCATACTCAGACATTCCCTGCTTTGAGGAAACAAGGTGCAGCTCCTTGCTACTGGTAGATCCAGCTCTGTGGAATGTTCCACCCGGAAAGAAAATACCTCTTTTTTTAAAAAGTCTGCTTCTGCAATTCTGTTGCATTCCTATTACCACAGCAATACTTTCTTTC